TATGATTGTTTGCCGAGATTATTCAAATTGCAGGGATTTTTGAGCAATTGAGCTCAGTGAATCGAGCTGGGTGGAATGTATTTGCTGGATTCTGTTCTGTCGAACTTCAATCTTGAAAATGGAACGGGTTTTGTTTTGTCAAACTTTAATCTTGAAAATGGAAAGAACATTGATGTGGAAAACAGTAACAGACAAGAAAGAAGCGATTCTTAGTGGTGATGTGGGACTCATTTGATGGATTTGGTGCATTTTCAGCCGGAAAACATGTGACATGGCAAAAATTTTATACAAATCATCACCTTTTTAAGTTTTGATTTCCACGTCATCAAAAAAAATATAAAAAATGCCACCTAAGCCGGGTTAACGGCTCAAACCAACAGAAGGACTAACGGAGTGCATTTCGTATAGTTGAGGGATCAAAAAAGTGCAAAAAATTGTTAAGGGACCAAAAATGTGCAACTCACTAAAGTTGACGGACCAAATCTAGCATTTAACCTTATTAAAAATATTCCTTATTAAAAATATTCAATAAAATTTTTAAGTCTAAACTAAGTTTTCATGGGCTTAACCCAATCAATCTTATCCAAGTTGATCTCTTAATATAATATAAGGGAAGTTAAATATTTTTTTATTTAAATAATATAATAAAAAACAACCATCTTTTATTTAATTATCTACTATTTTTTATTCCATCTCAACCATATGCAAATCCATATGAGAATATAAAAGAGTTTTAAGGGTTACAAACTATAGACATTAATACTGCTGGTAATCAGTACTTATATTTTACAAAAACGAAAACATGTAACAAAGCTAATGTCGTACGCCGCATTGAAGCTTGGTTGCATTTCCTTGGTGGACTTTAGGCATTATGTTCAGCCAATGACATTCCTCGAAGGAGCACAGTGTCGTCTTGGGCCATGCGACGTCAGCCGGCTTCATATAAAATGGGGCATATACAGGGGTTCCATCCTCAAATGAGTTATGGGTAAGCCTTGTCAAATCAGAACCGTCCAATTTCACAGTGAAAATCTCACCGTAAGGCTGATAGTGGTGTGGATTTGATATTGGCTCGGCTGAGATACCCCCATAGTCGGATGTGAAAACTATGGTCTTTCCATCCGGACCAAAAGATGGGTGGTTGGCCCGTCCGGCTGAACCACTCTTCACCAACCTCCTCAAACCGGATCCATCCGGATGGATCAAATATAGCTCGAAGCTTCCTGAACCAGGGTTATCTCGATCCGATGCAAAAGCAATCCAATCCCCATCCGGTGACCAGCTACACATGGTGTCGGTCCATTGACCTTCTGTGAGTCTACGAAGCCCGCTGGTCTCCCCTTCAACTGTATCCATTATGTACAGATTTTTATGACCAGACCGGCCCGACCGGAAAACAATCCACTTACCGTCAGGTGACGGAGAAGGAAATGCATTATTCTGACCATCAGTGGTCAACTTCTTAAAACCCACTTGGTCAGCGTCATCAACGTTGATGGAGATGATGTCAACCTCCGTTTTCTCGCTTGCAAAATCAGGTCCAGCGCTAGTGTATACAATTCCTTTACGAACCGGGTCCCATGCGGTTGAGAATGCAGACGAAGGAAAAACTTGACGCCGGTTTGAACCGTCGCGATTCACCACATAAACCCCAGGAAAATCTACAAAAGCGATTCGGTCCCCATCGGGCGAAAATGAAGGAAATGAACCGTCGACTCTGAAGAGGGAGAGGTTCGGCACTGGACTTCGGACATTTTCTAGCAATAGCTGGGGGCTTTTTCGTCCATTACCATTTCCATCGCACTTGTGGTACCCGACCCGCGTTGAATCAGGCGATATGAACGGGTTTAGGTGGTGAGTTGTGGGAGACACGAGCCGAGTCAACTCAACGAACTCGTTTTTGACGAGATCGAAGAGTTCTATATGACGATAACTCGAGCCGGGCCTTCTCGTTGCTACTGCTATGAATTTATTGTTACCTGGGGATGTGGCTGGCGTGAACGCGTGAAGACCCGGTGGTGTGACTCGCTGAACCGTCACTGACTCGGTCGAAACCGGTTTATCCTCCGGCAGAATCGCTCTGTAAACGCTTATCCACCCATCCCCGCTTCTTCTGTGGAAGTACAGAGTTGAATCGTCGACCCAACACGGCCACCCACCGTGTTCAACAACCTTGACTCGTTGAGAACCGTCGCGAGTCAAGAAGATATAGATATCAGTGCTCAACTCTTCCACTTCCCCGTCCCATCCTTTGATTCCGTACGACGCCACGGCTGTCCAAACCCCAGATGGAGACACCGCAGGGCTAAAATCGGCAACACCGCGGGGCGTGAGTCGCCGGGTCAACCCGCTTCTCAAGTGGGTCGAGTACACGGCAGCCCAACTGGTTCTGGGTTCGCCTGTGTCCTCGTGTGTTGACACATATATCAAGTGCTCCCCACTCAAACTGGGCTTATCCTTCATAGAAATCCGATTGTTGCTCTGTTCAATACCCAAAAGACGAACCTGAACCCGCACCGGAATCTCGAGGGCAGATCTCGATCCAGCGCGCGGCGCAGCAACGTCGTAGAGTGCGTCGTAGTAGATTGCAGAGGAACCATTTCTTTCGGTGACGTAGATGAGCTGGAGTTGAGAGTTTTGATGGGGGAGGAGAGACGAGGAGGCTGGAGGGAAGTGACCGTTGAAATTGACGGAAACACCATCGGTGATTCGGAGCTCGGCGGAAGGGGTTGGTGTGTGGAGCTGCGAGGGTATAGGCAGTGTAAAGATATCAAAAGCGTAGTCTGACCTACCAAGCGTAGTGAAGATTACGGTGTCACCGCTACTTGAAGTTTCGTGGTCGGCAGCCGCACATGATAACGAAAAGATCAGGTAGAGGAAGAAGAAGATTGGTGGCATGGCCGACATGGGTTTCATCTTCTTCTCTGCTTCACTTCAGTAGTTCAGTGTATTGACTGTCCTGATGAAATTTTATGGAGATAAGGCTGATCCTGATTAAGGGGGAAGTGGTGTAAGAGATGACGTGGAGAGAAACTGGTGGGTCCTACCTTTTGTTTTCAGAACACGTGTCAAGATCTTAAGGTGGAATTTTTCCATTTTTGAGGTTGATTCGTTTTTAGTGGTCAATTTTTATCCTCTAAAAAGAAGTTCCTTTTTTGTGATTAATTATTCTGATGGTAGAGCAATGCTAGGGGCACTCGCTTTTCGCACTCTCCGGTCAACACTTTCTCTTTTATTGGGCCACGTTATCTTGGTTCCCGAGAAGTTGCGCTGAAAGCTTTATAAAAGCTTACGTGGCCCAATGAAAGGGGAAGTGTTGGCCCGAGAGTGCGAAAAGCAAGTGCCCCTAGCATTGCTCTCTGATGATATTAAGCTAAGGTTTGGATTCTCATCCTCTCCGTTGGTTGGGTGTGCCCAAATTCTAGTTTATTTATTTACTGAATTTTACCTATAAAAGGCCAAATGAGTGATAATATTTTATTGAGTATAAGAAATTTTGAATTTAAATTATATTTTATATAAATATAGAATAAATTAAATGATATAAAATAATTATTTTTTGTTAATGAATTAAATAATTTAATAATTATTTTATTTTATTAAAAAAATATTTTAAATTTAAAGTATATGATGTATAATTTAAATAAAGTAAAAGATATGAAAAACTTATCATTTATTATATGCTATCAAAATTTAAAAAAATATATTTTTTATTATATAATCCAACATATAACCAATAAGTAAATTCTGTAAGAATTATACCATATTCTATAGAGTTGGCTAGTGTCTATAATGGGCTTTGGCTATCCAAAATTCAAAATTATGTATCAAGCATTTTACCTAGGGCTGAACATAGGGTATGGATATGTTTGATTACCTAATTTGTTTAGGTAGGTATTTTACTTGTATATGTGAAGAGACAATTAAATATCCGGTATTAAAAATGTATACTTACTAAGTATTAAGTAAGTATTGGGTATGAGGGTCAATATTTGCATATCTAACCTGCATATCTGATCTGTATATCTAATTTATATTCTAGTTTTATATGGTTAATTTGTAATATAATGTTATGAAATTAAAATGTTTATTTTTTTCTTTTCTTCTGGAAATGAAAATTCAACTTAAGGAAAATCATGTGGATTTTTGTTTATATTTCTTTTGTTATTATATATATATAAATTTGTGTATGTGTAAGTGTATATATTTATGTATTTTGTTTATATATGAACTTGTAGTTGTATATTAACTTATCTATTTTTAATGTAAAATTTAATAAGTATACAAATATACCTATAAGTATATTTGTACCAAACAAATTGAATAACAAATATAAATTTTTAATACCCAAATAAATGCAGAGTATTGAAATCTTATATCTATGGTTGAATACCCAATTTGATCCCTAAACTTTCATTTCAAAACTTATTTCGTCCTTTAACTTCAGAAAGCACCCAAGTGGTCCTTTAACTTCATTTTTCTGGAACCCAAATGGTCCTTCCATTGACAAGCTGCATACTTGGCACGTTAAGTGTCCAACAATTACCACTTTTAATTTTTTCATGCCTACGTGGAAAAACCAACTCAGCCAATTAATGATATAGCACCATTTTCAGTCCATGTTGGATTCCCGCCTCTCCCTCCTCTCCCACCTTCTGAATAAACCAGTGGGGAACTGCACATTGAAAAAAGAAAAGAAAGGGAAACTTCTCACTTTTGCAGCAACAAAACCCTAAAAGCAAGTAAAAGGAAGTATCTCAGAACGTGGATGAGGATCCCAAAGGTTTACCTGCTAATACTGATAGACCATCCTATGATGGCTATAATTGGAGGAAATATGGGCAAAAACAAGTAAAAGGAAGTGAGTATCCGCGAAGTTACTACAAGTGCACTCACCCAAATTGTCTTGTGAAAAAGAAAGTTGAAAGATCATTTGATGGACAGATTACAGAGATTGTCTATAAGGGTGAACACAACCATGCAAAGCCTCGGCCTCCCATGCGCAATTCATCAGGGACACAAGGGACAGGAGTTGCTTCTAATGGAACTGGTCAAGATGCCAACAATTCATTATGGAGCAAACAACAGAATGAAAGGAATGAAGGCTTTGAAGGTAGAGTTGAGAATGAGAATGAAGTAGGATTACCAGCACATTCATCTTATCAGGGAAAAGCTTCAGTACCTTATGAACCAGTTGCCACTGGAGCAATTAATACTGGTGGTGGAACTTCTGAAAACTCTTGTGGTCTTAGTGGGGAATGTGAGGAAGGAAGCAAGGAAGGAGAAGATGAGGACCTGAGAAGTAAGAGAAGGTAAGACATGCCATTAAAATGAAAATGTGCTTGTCAATAGATAGCATAAATTGGATTAAGCTAATTTGCTATGTCACATATTACTCCAATACTTCTCTGATCTTCTATTATATCAAATTTCTTTCTAAGGCATAAATTGCTTCAAAATTTTACCTCATTGACATAATACATCATAGTTTAAGCTGAACTATGATATGTTTATTGTAGAAAAAGTGAGATTCAATCCAGTGAAGTAGGCATTTCTGGAGAAGGTGTCCAAGATCCCCAAGTTGTGGTGCAGAGTATCACAGATTCTGAGATTTTGGGGGATGGCTTTCGCTGGAGAAAATACGGGCATAAAGTTGTGAAGGGAAATCCATATCCCAGGTTGGAACTAAATAACTAGTTTAAATATACATTAGAGCCAAGAGTACCATTTTCTTTAAGAAAAAAAAAAAACTTTTGTCCTTCCTCATCCTGTTTTTACTCTGAATGATGCTTGATTATGTTGTGCTATTTCATGATATCCCAAGTGCTTCCAAAAATTAATGGTGGCTGACCTCCCTTGAAACTGAACTCCAGCTGCTATTGTCAATAGCTAGTATAATCAGAGATGTCAAAATTTCTCCTATGATTATTATGTACGTATATATGTATGATCTATTGTCTTATTTTCTTACAGAATGTTTTATTCTGTCTTGTAGAAGTTACTATAGATGCACAAATCTCAAATGCAACATGCGCAAGCATGTTGAAAGAGCATCAGATGATCCAAGATCTTTTATCACAACATATGAGGGGAAACACAACCATGAGATGCCACTTAAGAACACAGCTCCTGTGGTATCTGAACCAGAATCACATGCCCCTTCTAGTAAAGACAAGGCATGACCACAGGGAAGGAAAATCATTGCCGATGTATGCCAGCATGATTTCTGGTCCCAAAAACAGTCACAGGAAATTATAAGTATTCCATCATGTTGCTACCAAACAACAGGAGAAATTCAGAAGCTGGCCATGAATTTAGGCTGTGGAGGCTTCTTGTTGATGGCAATTTTATATTGGAAGTCCGAATAACAGCATTTAACCCACAGTTGCATCTATTATCTTCACTTCTGGACTTTGTACATTCTGCAAAGCTTCCACTCTCAAATGAACCTAAACCCGAACCCAAACTCCGTGCAAAACCAGCTTCCATTTTATGATTCTCACAAACCCAAGACAAATAGCAGAGGATTAGGGTTCAAGGGAAGAAGAAGGAATAAAAAATGCAAATGATTTCAGGTTCGAGTTTGAAGGAGAAGGAATCACAAGACAAGGTGTAGGGGATTTAAGGTTCAAAGAAGAAGAAGGAATCAAGATTTACAGAGGATTTAGGGGTCGACGAATAAGGAATCAAGGGTTCCGAGAAGAAGGAATCAAGAGTGGTTATGGGTCGAAGAAGAAGGAATCAGTTTGATTTGCAGGCATCATCGATTGCAGGAAGCAAGCTTTCTCGATTTCTGGAAACTGAGCCATTGGAAACATGGAAGTAAATACCAAAATGGTTGCCGGTTATTACCAAAAGATTTAGGGGGTTTCCAAGAACAAAGGATTTAGGGCTTAAAGGGGCAAAGGGGCAAAGGGGCAAAGGGGCAAAGGGGCAAAGGAAACAGAGAGTAAAGTGAAGAGTCTGCAAGAGGAAGGGGAGTCTGCAAGAGGAAGGGGAGTCTACATCGATAAAAGCAGACAATGACATGTTTGCCCACTATTTTGTTTTATTTAGAAAGGCTGGAAGGACAAAAAAATCAAACATGGACTGAAAAGGGTGCTATATCATCAATTGGCTGAGTTGGTTTTTCCATGTAGGCATGAAAAAATTAAAAGTGGTAATTGTTGGACACTTAACGTGCCAAGTATGCAGCCTGTCAATGGAAGCACCATTTGGGTTCCAGAAAAATGAAGTTAAAGGACCACTTGGGTGCTTTCTGAAGTTAAAGGACTAAGTAAGTTTTGAAATGAAAGTTCAGGGACCAAATTGGGTATTAAACCTATATCTATCACCGTTCAAGTTAAGTACAAGTATGGACAAATACCTAACCCATACCTACCCATGCTCACCTCTAATTTTACCGATGGACTCACCGGCAAGGTCCATAACTCCATATTCAATTCCATTCCTTGTCAATCTTTTCTTTTATTCACTTTGGGCCATCTAATCCAACTTATGATAACGGATTCACCAAAAAAAAGCCATACTTTCTTCCCCTGAACAGGCCGAACGAGGAGGCCTGCTTTGAGCCGTGTTTGTTTTACTTGCCTCCAGCCTTACCTGCTAAATTAATCCATGGACTGGAAGCCATCAGCCCTACTCAGCAGATTTGGCAACGGCAAGGCTGCTAAAAACCTGTTTGAGTCTCTTCCTAAGAATTCCTTCTCTTCTGAATAACATGGTTCAGTAACGGTCACGTCCTTACACATCCCAAGCTCGATAAATTTACATGCGAACGGCTTTTTTCAAGGTAGAATATAATTTTTGAATATACTAGAATAAGTAGTTCAAACTTGTGAGGAAAGAAAGATAAGGAGGGGAGTATAGTTTCAAACTCCTATCAAGAGGCGTGAAAACCTTTTATAGTAGTGAAATAGTCATTTTGAACTACGAAGGCTCCACCAAGGTAAATTGTAATTAAAAAAAATCAATTTTGAGGTAAAGAAAATATGTTAATAATGATTTAAATAATTTAATAATAATTTTATTTTTT